AAGAATCCAAGTGCAACCGATTAGAACTAATAATAATCAGATGCATACAGATTAGAGATGCATGCGCCAACATCTCAGTGTTAGTAGCAAAAACAATGAGTCTTTCTGCAAGGAACAATATATTCTAAAATGAAATGGAGATCTTTTTTAAAGTTTAAAGCCTCATTCAATTTTATGTCTTATAAGGTTTATACCGAGTACAATAATGTATAACTGTATTAGTTCAAATGTGAACCTAAAAATTTAGAGCCAATATTGAAAGAGAAGCGTCTTTGCTTTGTTATTGAATATGTTAATGCTGTAATGAAATGCTTCTAATCATGTGGTTATTAAATAATTTAAAAAACAAAAAACAAAAAACAAAAAAAAAAACACCTCATTCTGAAAGTTGTGTGTGGTGGCTCCTGCCTATAACCCCAAGCACTTGGGAGGCTGAGGCAGGAGGATCATGAATTCAAGGTCAGTTTGAACATTCAAGAGGCTGAGATAAGAAGACTGCCCTGAGTTTGAGGCTAACCTGGGCTACAGTGTGAGATCCTGTCTCAAGTAAAACCTGAAAAAATTTAGAAAAATAAGATTCAGCCAAGCATGGAGGGAGACTAGTGAAAAGCCTGTAGGGCAGCAGATGTAGAACTGTTGGTAGATGCCTGCCTAGCATGAACAAGGCCTTGAGTTCCACCCCCAGCACTGCACATGGGTGTGGGCATGCCTGTAATCCCAGAACTTTGAAAAGGACCAGAAGTTCAAGGCTGGAGCTGGAAAGATGGCTCAGAGGTTAAGAGCATTGGCTGCTCTAGTACCATTAGTAACTGAGTCCAGGGGATCTGATGCTCTCTTCTGGCCTCTGCAGGCACTGCATGGCATTACATATATGTAGGCAAAACACCCATACACAAAAGTATTTTAAAAAAGGGAAGTTCAAGGTCATTTCCAGCTACACAGAGTTTGAGGCCCAGCGTTCTACATGAGTCCCCATCATAAAAATAAAACAGCAACAATAACAAAAAGAATATTTTAGACTCTACAGTGGCCCTGGCTTGTTACCACAGTACCGTTCCATGTATTACCTGGGTAATACCTGGGTATCTTGTTTGCTATGTGAGGTGATGGAATCTGTGAGCACTTCATGCTCTGAGCATTCACACAGCCCAGCACCCAGGGCCTCACCTGCCAGCCCTTGTCAGCAGTTCTGTAGTAGGGGTAATGCTTGGTGATGTGAGCATAGATGCCACTTAGTGTTAGCTGCCTATCCTGGGCCGAGGAGATGGCTTGTACAATCAGCTGTGCGTAGGAGTAGGGTGGCTTCGACTCGTCCTGGGAGGGACAGAACACAGAGTTAATGGAAGGAATGGGACAGAATACCCTGACCTAGGCCACCTGCTCACACAGAGGCCCGCGTCTAGATTAAACCCAGCTCTATGATCATGCCTCTTTGACTAGCATGGTTGCAATTAGATTCTAAATAGTAGGGCATGGCAAATCACACCTGTTCCTAGCACTCAGGAATCTGAGGTAGGAGGATTGTCTTGATTTTGAGGCTAGCCTGGGTTACTGTGTGTAACCTTGTCTCAAAAAAAAAAAAAAAATACAAAAAAAACCACAGGGCTGGAGAGACAGTTCAGTCATTCAGAGCACTAGGCGCTCTTATAGAGGATGTGGGTTTGGTTCTCAGCACCCACATGGCAACAAACAACAGTCCGTACTCTAGTTCTAGGGGATCCAACACCTTCACCTCCACAGCATTGCATGACATGGGTACACTTACATACATGAAGGCAAAATGCTCATACACTTAAAATAAAAAACAAATTAATCCGAAAAAAAAAAAAAAACCATCACCAAAACCAAACAAAAAAAGAGGCCCTGGGGAGATGGCTCAGTATATCAAGAACTTGTCACGTAAACATGAGACCTGAGTTCAGATCCCTAGCATTGATATAAAATGCCAGGCAGGGTGTCACACACTGTAATCCCAACTCTGGTGAGGTGGAGACAGGCAGATCCCAGGGGCTTACTGGCCAGCCAGCCTAGACTAAAGGGCACCACGTTCAGTGAGAAACTGCCTCAAAAAAATAAAGGATTGGAGAAGACATCCAAAGTCAACTTCTGGCCTCAACATGTATATGCATGGGTCAGTATACCTCACAGGCAGATGTGTGTGCATACTGACACACAAAGTAAGGAACAAAAAAAAAAAAAAAAGAAAGAGCAGGTTCTGCCTCATAGGAAGAGAAAATTTTTTTTTTAATCAGAATTGTGAAATTCCTTTACTCTCTCAGCACACTGTCAGTTATTAGATGGAAAAGAAACAAAGACATAAAGTTACAACAACAAAACATGTGGCTGGGCCTGGTGGCTCAGGCCTGTCATCCCAGCTGTTCAAGAGACTGAGGGAGGGGACTGGAGAGAGCGGGCTCAGCAGTTAAGAGCACTGGCTGCTCTTGCAGAGGACCTGGATTCAATTCCCAGCACCTACAAGTGCTGGGAATTGAATGGCAGCTAACAAGCATCTGTAACTCCAGTTCCATGGGATTCAACACACTCTTCTGGCCTCTGTGGGCTTTTTGCATGACACGGGTACACTTACATATATGTAGGCAATATACTCATAGACATAAAATAAAAATAAATAATTCTTTTAAAAAAGAGGCTGAGGTAGAAGGCCTCAAGTTCAAGGCCAGTCTGGGTTATGAAGTGAGTTCAAGGCCCAGCCTGTCTCAAAATAAAAAGTTAAAAGAGGGGTGGGGATGTGGATCAGTATTAAAGTACTCCTGGGTTCAATTCCCAGTATAGCCAAAAGGAATAAATAAATAAATAAATAAATAAATAAATAAATAAATAAATAGAAAGAACAAAAGAAAGAAAGGAAGGAAGGAAGGAAGGAAGGAAGGAAGGAAGGAAGGAAGGAAGGAAGGAATAAAAATGTGTCATTTGGGCCTGGCAAGAGAACTGTCGTTAAGAGCACTGGCTGCTCTTGCAGAGGACTTGGGTTCAATTCCTAGCACCCACATGGCAGCTAACAACTGTTCATAACTCTGGTTCCAGGGGATCCAACATCCTCTTCTGACCTCCTCAGGCACTGCATGAGATGGGTACACTTACATGCATGGAGACAATACACTCATACAAATAAAATAAAAATGATAAATAATTTTTTTTTGTCTTTTTGAGACAGGGTCTCTCTGTAGTCCCAGCTGACCTAAACTGACTGTGTAGACCAGGCTGGCCTTGAACTCACAGTGATCCACCTGCCTCTGCCTCCTGGGTGCTGGGACTAAAAGCGTGCGCCACCACGCCTGGCCTTAAATAAAATATTTTTAAAAAGAAAAAGTTGTTAGATTTGTCATTTGTCCAAATACTATCATTAAACTCTGAAACTGCTTCATTAGTAGCAGCTGGAAGGGAGAGAAGCAGGGTGGGTGACAGGACCCCAAGTCACTGCCAACAGCCTAGTACATTTAGGCTGTGAAATGACACCAGGTGGATCCTTCTCTGCAGCCACGTTACACCTTGGAGCATGCCACTGTGCCACCCTGAGGTCCCCTACCACTGGAGTTTGGTCACAATGACAGCATGTCTGAGGCTCAGACCTTGGGGCTGTCCCCGCCAGATGTATCTGCTTGCTGCTCAGAGGCCGCCTTTGCTGCGAACTCCGCGGCCAGCTGCAGGTCCGAGGTCACATTCTGGACGAAGCGGTAACTGGACGACCCAGCTCCTCGTGGACTGGCGGGGCAGGAGTTGGGGACGCTGAAGAGAAGACAGGATAGATACATGGTTAGTTTGAGGCCTTGGGAATTGGGACTCTGTGTAGGACACGATTTCAGGACCATCACGAGTAGGTAATTCATTACTTCTGTCTCACTGCAAATATCCTTGTGGGAATCTCTTCAGAAAATTGAGACACAACGAGAGACCAGCAAGGACCTGGGAGAGCACGTTTTACTTCCTTTTCCAAGACCAAGGTCAAGGTTGCAGGAAGCCAAATGCCCAGGACACGAGTTCTAGCAAAGGCAGTTTCCACCCAGAAAGCTCCTCACTCAGCTCCAGGCTCCGTCCACAAGATGTGGCTAGTGCAAAGGTGACCACAAGATGGCACCCTAAGAACAAGATTAGATGGCAAGTAACTCCAGACAGGAAGAGATGTTGTGGGAGGTTCCAGGGACCTAAGCAGGCGGATGGGAGGACACACAGAGCTCACTGCTGGACAACTGCTCAACTTGGACCTTCTACCAGCGTTGCCTGAACCCAGCAGTCTGCTGATCAGTAAGCTGACTAAGACAGATCTAGTGGGCCAATGAAATGGCTCAGCATGTAAAGGCACTTGCTGCTAAGCCTGATAACCGGAGTTCGATCCCGGGGACCCACACAGGTGGAAAGAGTGAACCATCTCCTACAGGTTGTCCTCTGTGGCACATGCACACACACATACTTAATAAATAAATAAATAAATAAATAAATAAATAAATAAAAATAAGCTGGAAATATGGCTTAGCAGTTAAGAGCACATACTATTTCAAAGGACCCAAGTTTGATTTCCAACACCTATATCAGGTAGGTTACAACCACCTTTGTCTCCAGCTCTAGGGAAGCAGACACACATACATACACATAATTAATAAAATAAAATAAATCTTAAAAATAAAATGTAATAATGGACTTAGTTACCCAACCAAAGCTTTGGTTGTAAGAACAAGTTGTCCTTTGCCCTTCTCACATGCACCACAGCACACACACACACACACACACACACACACACACACACACACACACACTCACACACTCACCCTTAATAAAGAAAATGTAATTTTGAAAATTTCAAAATAACTTTAAAAGGAGAAAAGTAATCAAACACTGTAGTGGGTGTGGGCACTGAGATCCAATGTATTTCTGTTTAGCATCCTGCCCACTGGAGGGCCAGACTTCATGACCCACAGTGATGCTGGCCAGCCTGTGGCATCGTCCCCACCCATGCCTGTGGCTGCTGGAGGACCAGCCTTGGGAGGCTGCTCTTCACTCCCTGCTGCTTCTCAGGCTGCTGTCCCCGCTCTGCCTCATGTTGGAGCTGCCTCTTCTGCAGGATATCTTCTGATCCTCTGAAACCTAGCTTGGACATTGCACCCTCATGCACATACGGTGTTCCTAGGCTCTGGGACAGGACCCAGTGGCTGTGGGTCTGCCTCTCTCTTCCTGGGAGCTGCTGACACGCAGTTAGAACTCAGGAGCTGCTCATAGGATGAAGCAAGGAATGAACAAAAATTCCTCAAATGGGGCTGGAGAGATGGCTCAGTGGTTTAGAGCACTGGCTGTTCTTCAGCACCCACATGGCAGCTTACAACCATCTGTAACTCCAGTTCTAGGAGATCTGACATCCTCTTCTGGCCTCTGTGGGTTACTTCATGAGACGGGTGCACATGCATACATGCAGGCAAAATACTCATAAAATAAAAATAGTCAGGTGTGGTGGCGCACCACTTTTAATCCCAGCACTTGGGAGGCAGAGGCAGGTGGATCTCTGTGCGATTGAGACCAGCCTGGTCTACATAGTGAGTTCCAGGCCAACTGGGGCCGCAGGAAGACCCTGTCTCAAAAAGGAAATAATAAATAAATAAATAAAATAAAAATAAACAAATCTTAAACAACAACCAACAAATCCTTAAATTGGGGCATGGATGGAGGATGAATTCCATTCAGGGTCATGACCCCTTTGCAGGAAGGGCCTGTGCAAGCCACATAGAATTCTAAGGACGCTCGGTGAAGAATTCTTGTTTTTTTTTTCAACTGACCTCCTAGAAACTTGACAGGCACACATAAGTTCTATGAGTATAGAATTTATTTATTTTAATTAATTTTTTATTTTTATTTTATGTGTATGTGTGTATTGCCTGCATGCACGTAAGTGTACCCGTCTCATGCAGTGCCCACAGAGGACAGAAGAGGGTGTCAGATCCCCTGGAACTGGAGTTATGGATAGCTGTTAGTTGCCATGTGCGTGCTAGGACTCAAACTTGGGTCTTCTGCAAGAACAACGAGTGCTCTTAACCTCTGAGCCATCTCTCCATCCCCCATGAGTACAGAATTTCTTTTCCTTCCGGTAAGCAAGTCCCAGCTCCTCCCCCTCTGTGTCCTTAGGACTCAGCTAAGGCCTAATTACGAGCAGAAAGTTCAGTCAGCAAACTAATTCAGCCAGCAAAATACATGAGACTGTGAAAGGGAGGAAAACAACTTTTTGCTGAGGCTCATTCCTTTTTTGGAGACAGGGTCTCACTATGTAGCCCCAACTGGCCTGGAACTCAATATGTGAACCATCCCAGGCTGGCCTCCATCTCACAGTGATCTGCCTGCCTCTGCCTCCCCAGTACTGGGATTAAGGGCATATGTAACCATACCTGGTTTCATTCTCTTTTTTTTTTTGAGACAGGGTTTCATTGGGCTCACACTCACCAGCCTCCTGCCTTAGTGTCCCAAATTGGTGGGGCCATAAGCATGGGCCACCACACCTGGCTTGAATTCAATCCCCCCCGGCCTCTTTAATTGTTGAGACAGGGTCTCATATAGCCCAGGCTAGCCTGGAACTCCCTATGTATGACATCCTGATCCTCCTGTCTCTACCTCCTGAGATTTCAGGCCTGCACCATCACATCAGGCCTGAATCTAATTCTAAACCTAAAACCTAAAATACAAACCCAAGTACAGAGTGGGGAGAGAAGATTTTATAACTTACTTTCTCTCTCTCTCTCTCTCTCTCTCTCTCTCATCAAATATTAGGTTTCAGGTGCTGGAAGGATGACTCAGCAGCTAAGAGCACTGGCTGCTCTTGCAGAGGACCTGCTGGCTGCTCTTACACAGGACCTGGTTCAGTTCCCAGCACCCACATGGTGACCTACAAGTCTCTATCTCCAGTTCCATGGGATCTGATCCCCCTCTTCTGGCCTGCTCAGGCATTGCACACATGTGGTGTACTTACATGCATGCGGGAAAATCACACAAAATGAAAAAAGTTAATATTTAAAAAAACAGGTTTCAAAACGAATGCTGACACAAAGGTGTGTTAGAGGGAGATGTGACATGCGGTGACCAGTTTTCACTGGAGACTCTGGGCCCTAGACAGTGCTCTGGGCACTCTGCCTCAGACCCATTAATGCCCACAGACTTGACCTCAATGACAGGAGACATCGTGTCTTGCTGACCATGGGGCTGAGGTGCTGACCACAGCCAACCACCCAGTGACAGATCATGGATGAAGGTGGGGAAGGCCAGTGAAGGAGGGCTCACCCAAGAAAACTGAAAAGCTTGGGGACTACCATGGAGGTGGCAGGGAGCTTCTACCTTGTGTCGGGTCTGTGGAAGATCTGTCCCTACCAGCTCTGATTGATACAGGGTGACAGCGGAGGCCACGGAGCAAGGAGCTCCTGCCTGTGAGAGATGGCAGCAAACACCTGCCCTTGCTCTCAAGGGCAAGACCTAAAGTCAAGGTCATCATGGTCCGTGAGATGGTTTAATGGAAGCAACAGGAAGGGTTTGGCAAAGTCCAGTTCAAAAACAAGGGAGAGTCAAGAGCCAAGACCCAGTGACTTGGGCCTGTCATCCCAGGTACTGGGAAAGCCAAGGCAGGAGGATCATAGCTCAAGGGTGGCTTGGGCTTACAGAATGAGTTTAAGTCCAGCCTGGGAAACTTAGTGAGATCCTGACAGAAAGTAAAAAGAGGGCTGAGGATGTAGCTCAGTGGTAGAGTTCCTGTCTAGAATCCCCCAGTGAGGGACTGGAGACATGACTCCAGTGGTAGAGTACTTGTCTAGAATCCTCCAGTAAGGGACTGGGGGCATGGCTCAGTGGTAGAACACTTACTGGCTTGTGTGAGACTCTGGATTACACTCCCAGTACACTTCTCCCTCCACACACGCACACACAACACACACACACACACACACACACACACACACACACACACACGCTTCTGGTTCATTTTTTCAGCCTGGGCCTGGCTCCTGCCAATGATCCCTGTGTCACCACAGCCTGAAGGTGCACAATGAGTGCTTCAGTCACAGCTGCTGTGACATCCAGGTTTCCCAGCACCAACTCCCAGGAGACATGCGTCTGCTCACTCAGTTTTTCCCATCCTCAAAGCAGCCCATTTCTCAATAAATCCCATTCAACTATCCTTGAGTGCCTGCTGCAGTGGAGAGGGCTAAGCCTGAGATGGGGCCGCCTGCTGCTAGGCCTCCACCCCAGGGGAGGCTGCTGGAGCTCAAAAAGTCTCAGGGCTGGAAAATGATCCATTGGAAATCAGGTGGGTCCCAGGTGCTGGCAGGACAGGGGTCATCCAAGCTCCAGAGCAAGGTTTGCAAGCTTCGAGAACACACAGAGGGACCTGGGAAGCCACCTGGGAAAAAGAATCAAGAAATTTATACCAGGTGTGGCAGCTCATACCTGCACTCCCTGCATTTGAGGGCTGAAACAGGAGGGTCACTAGTTTAAAAAAAAAAAAAAAAGGAAAAAAAAATCCAACAACAAAAACCCCCAAAACAAACAAAAATGTCAGCCCTAGTGGCACATACCTTAATCCCAGGACTTGGAGTTTGAGGACTGCCTGATCTACTGTACATAGTGAGTTCCAGACCACCTAGAGCTACATAGTGAGACCCTGTTTCAAAACAAAAAGGGCTGGATAGATGGATCATCGGCTAAGAGCACTGGCTCAGAGGACCCAGATTCAGTTCCCAGCACCCACAGGGTGGCTAATAGTCATC